CCACTCTGAAAACATTACATTCCCACCAGCAAAGATACACATTCCCAGCCTAGTGCTGATGTGACGATATCCATGTGCTCTTGTTTCTTCTCTTTCACGTAACAGTGCACACACCAGTGCTTGCCTTCTCTCCAACAGCTGGTCTAAGGCAGTGAAGGGTCACCAGTCCCGTTCTGTTCCAGTTCCCAGAGGCTCCCTGCTCTGGCAAAATGCCACACTTCCTGAGCAACTCTGTCTTGCCCCAGAAGCTGAAGAAATGTTCCCTATTTGAACTGTTAAACTTTCATTTCCTATCTGACGTTATCTCAGTATGGGCAGCATTTTAAAGTCTGATTTGGTGTTTTCTCTTTTTTCTTCAAATCTCTGAAAGATCCTGTTTTGGACTGAAAGGTACAAATGAGCATGAACTTTGTGAGTCTTTTGGTATGGCAAACGTAAGCCTTTAAAACAAGGTATTTGGGGTTTTCTTTCCATTAAACTATAGAAAGTAATTACCTAGGAAATGTAAACAGTTAGCAAATGTGAACACAACAGAATAGGTTGTTTGACTCTCTTTTCATTCTGAATTAAACCGAAAAGAGGAGTAATAATTTTCTCAAAGGAATTTGTCACATGTGTTGTTTGCACATATCTTTCACGTCTTGTTCTTTCACAGCCTGTTAGATCCTAGAGTTGAAGCTGCACTTTTCAACTTCCTTCTGTAATCCAGACCAAACTGTGTCACCAATAGCTGTATTTTTATCCCATTGAATTCTAAGTTTTTCACTATTTTTTAAATTACTATTAATATGGTGTTTAACATCACTTCTGAAAAGTTACATCAAAAAGGTTAAATGGTGCTGGTTTCCATCACTCTTGATATGGCTGTTACTGACACATTTCAACACTTGTAATAGTGCAGAGGGTTTATGTCATTAAAGAGGTGCAGTCAAAAAAATAAGACCATCATCGCCATTGCTAATTAAAGAAAGCAGCTTGTTGATCAATGTTCATGCACAGAGAAGAGCAAACTTGTCCTAATATTTCCATGGACACAACGTCACCTGGAGTTTTTTCCTATAGTTTCTGCTTTTTAAATTATTTCTCTCAAATTCATTTGCTTTAATCCAATTTTGGGTCAGAAGAGAGACTGCTACTTGGCGCTGGTTCTGTCACCAGCTCCCTTCACCTATGGAGAATGTGCAGTTGAAGACCCATTGTGGCCTCTGTCAGAGTTAACCAAAGACCCCTAGTTAACTTCAACCCTCAGCAAACCAGTTCACTTATTTCTAACACACCGTGCTGTGTCACATAAGCATATGCAGTGCAAGATGATTTCCTTCCCTTGCCCAGCCCTGTAGCTAAATGGGTAGGGGCATAAACAGCAGGTAGGAGGAGGCTATGGTCTTCCTGAAGTATAACTGGTTGATTGCTCTTACAGTAGCTACGATAAAAGACACTAGGCAGATATGCAGCCAAACATGGGGAATTAGGGACTCACCATTGATATTTTTAGCTACAATGTAAAAATTCAGTTTGGCGTGTTGAATGAAGCAATATTAAGCTGAAGCCTCTACAGTATTTCTGTATTTTCATCTGTAAGTTTTGTATGTCTTTGAAATGGCTTCAGCTTGTCCCAACTGGTAATGTTAATAATCTGTTTTGTTTCATACAAGCTGGAGGCATTGAAAAAAGTTATTTTCCTGTGCTACTTCATCTCTAAATGTGCTAGGTACTGAATCACAATGTCTCTCTGTGAATGCAGTTCCCCTCTTTCCAAAAAAATAGGTCAGTGTAAATACAGATACCTATTTAAAAAAAAATTGCCACATTTTCAGGATCCGTTGAGGGCAGTAGGAATCCACCTTTTAGTACCAATGAGATCTGGCTTGGATGCTCGGTGTTGGATCACAACCTCATCTTCACAGTGTTCTCCTTTCTCTTACAGCGAACAGGACACAAGAGGCAAGTTGCACAGGCATTTCCAAGTGTGTGCCTGGTCAGTTACAACTTGAACTATTGGAATCACAGCCTGAATAATAGTATAGATCTAGTAGTTTGACAAGCTACACATCGACTGCTGTTCCAGTCTGTCTTCAAGGAGTAATGAAAAGGGAGTGTAGAAGTTGTCAGTCCTCTCTGTTAAAGAGACCAGCTCACAGCATACCTTGTTATGGGCTTTGTTTTTCATAAGCTTTATTCTCAAATATTTTGTTTTCCTGATAAAAATACATTCAAGAGTATTGTTTGTTAGCACCTGGCATATTCAGTGAACAGATTCCAAATATACTTGTGTACACGAGTAGTTTTATTTGTTGTACTTCTGGGGTAGGGAGAATTGTATGAATCAGCTTTTCCATCAATAGAATTTCCCACATCTTCTGGAACCACTCAGTAAGTGTGGGTACATGGGCTGATTTCCACACTGCTGCTATTGTTGTTCAGGTTTTCTGTGATTCTGTACTTATAACTGAATGCCACAGGCCTGGATAAGGATGGGAAGCCATTGAACCAAAGATCGGGCACACCTCTCACAAGATTTTTCAGTTCTTTTCCCTGTCTTGTTGCGTGCTGAAGTGTGCCATTGACTCTTTTTGCACATAGGGTATTCTCTGGTTTTAGTTAACCAGCTCCTTAGGGACTCAGGTTTGCCCAAAATATAAAGCAGACACCACTATAACAGCCAAATACACTGTCACAGAAAAGTAGCAAATAAACAGATCTCATTTGTCTTCAGGTTAATTTGGAAGATGAGGATATGTAGCAGAAAACACGTCAAATCCTACTGCAGGCTCTTGGGAAAATTGTGTTACATTAACCCAACTCCATCTGCAGCTCTGGAACTTGAGAGCAGCAGCAGAAATGGCCAAGTAGCTTCCAGCTGAGTAAGCACACATTTTATACAGCAGCTTGTTTTAATAAAGCATTGTTCTCTGTTATATTGAGAGTCCAAGCGCTGTAAGCAACATAAAATCAAAAAAGCCTATGGAAAGTTTAAGACTCACGCAAAATAATATTTATTACTGCCAGAATTTACCAACAATGCCCTCAAAGTCACTTAAAATGGAAAACTGTATGTCTCATGCTGAAGCATCCAAGCAATTCTTCAGGCTGACTAGAGACCTGCTGATTCCACCTCTTAGCCCATGTCTGAGGATAGTACTAAGTAGTGAATGAATTGAATTTAGACTGCTACTAAGCTGCAAGGTTAAGGACATGTGAAAAAGATGCAATTTAAGATAAATGCCAATATTTTATGACACTTCAGAGTGCCCCATGCTTTTCAGAGCAGTAAGGGGCATATAGCTTCTTCTCAAAAGAGATTATAATCCATATTTACAGGTGATTAAATAACTGTAAACGGAGACGAAGAAAAAAGGTCAGGCTAACATGAATATGGAAACTTGTTAACTAAATGGAAAGCCCTCACACGGCGTAAATTAACAATTTCTTCTGTATTTTCATAGGAAACTACAAAAAAAAAACTTCAAAAAATCTTCTGGAAATACCCACATGCAAGGAAGATTGCAACCACATGAGATGTGGCCATTGTCATAAGTCAAGGACACTTCTGAACACATGTAATGGCTATTCTCATTAGCCTTGATGAGATGAAGTGTATCAGAGAAGTTCGCGTCAGCAGTCCTGTCACAGTGGTACGTGTGTTGCACAGATGAGAGCTGTCATAAATAGTTCAGTTTTGTGAAAGTCATGCCCTAGCATTAGGCCAAATGATAACGGGTTCCAGGCCAGGTGGCAGGCTGTGGTGGCAGGGACACATTTAAAACATTGGCTTAGCCTGTACATCACGTGTTCATTTTTCCATTTTCCATGTCCTTGCACTACAGGACATATGAGGTTGATACTCTCAGCTCTTTCCAGTGCCATCCAGTCTGAATTTACAGCTGCAGTAGAGCAATCCACTTGATGACTTGTTTCCAAGACACATTGTCTCTCTCTATCTGTCCATATTTCTGTTTAAATAGCAAAAGGTCTTCCCCATGATCTTTGTACGCCAGTAATTCTTAACATTTTTCAGCCTACATGCCTCTTTTTCCCCCCAGGTGAACTACAGGAATGACGGTGTAACTCTTCTGCAGAGAAGCCACACAGAGCTGCGAGATATGCTGATTACAGGAGGTACTTCTACCAAAAGGCAGCCTTTGACAGAGCGCTGCCACCCGCACTGTATCGCAATGACTGTTCCTCTCATTGATGCCTCAAAGCATTTGGGTTCCCATGTCAGATATGAAAATGACTATTATTTCTTCTGCAGGGTAGCTGCTGTGCTAGAATTGCATAAATAGTATTTTGTAGCTATCCTAGCCCAATCTGGGGCCTCCGGTCAGGTTTTATGAACAGAAGAGGATTGGGTCTGGCTGATAATTTGGGAAAGAGATGAGAAGGGAAACCCCCAGCATGGCAGGAACTGGAGTTAGTGAAACAATAGCTGGAACTCTGAGTCATTGCTGAAACAACGTCCAAACATGAGCATCAGAGGACACACTGTACTGCAGAAAGAGACAGCTTCTGGATAAGTTGCACACAAGGAGACCTAAAAAAATTTTTAATTTTGAAAAAGTTAAAGATCTCTCTACACATTTTTCAAGAATGAGATCGATATCCCCCAGGTGGTTTTAAATTTGGTAGCTACATTTTGGCAGACTCCAGGAATTTAAAATGGATTTTAGCCTGTTCTGTGCTCTTCTGTCTTCTACAGGGGTAAAGTACTGCACCTTAAGCACTATTAACTAATAATTCTCTGTATTCCCTCAGAGTATAGCAAATGAGTGCTTTAAAAGTATTTCCTGACTTAAACCTTATGATCATGCAGAAAGTTTGAAAAGTCTGGTAAAGACAAGGAAACAGAGTCCAAGAGCTCTCAGATTTGTCAAAATGCCATAAAGGAATGTTCTGTTCAGAGCAGGCAGACAGTCTGATTATGTGCATAGTGTGATCACAAAGTCAGGAAGAAAAGAGAGAAAAAACTGAGCTCACCTGTCTGCCTAAGGCAAATCTTTTTGTGTTTTACTGCAGCTCTTGCTCCCACTACCTGAATGAAATCATACTTGGAGACAGCATGTCCTTCAGGTCAGAGCCGCAGTCACAAGACTGCCTTTCCTCTCTTGCCACAGGAGGTTTTGCATTTCAGGAGCTGATGAAATAATCCCTGCATAAGGTAAACAGGACTCAGTTCAGCTGAATATAATAGATTTACCCAAGATTTCACATGAATACTGAGAACTGCAAAGCACTTTAGGTGAAAAGCTCAGTTTCAGGGGAAGATATTATTCACTGAAGATTTTTAAGAATGAAAACACCAGCTGAGTCAAACTATTCCAAAGCCAGAATATTTTATGTATGATCAACTTAATAAATGGAAAAATGTGTAAATCCGCTCCTTCTAGAGCATTATAAAAATGGCATTACATAGGAGATTGATTTCCAGAGCTCCCAGGGGTACGCTCTCTTTTCCTGATGCACATGTCTAAGCACCATTAACACTGTTACCAGGGGGACAATATACATGTCAGTATAAAGTACATGATCAGAACCTTCTGAATTACAACTCCCTAATTAGTGTCCTTGTGTCAATTATCCCATTCAAGATGTCAAATATTTCATGAGGATTAAATTTCAAAATACACAGACTCTCTGTTTGATATATAAAATCCCAAATGGTTGCTCAACATATATCAGTGTTATTATATCACATACAGCAGGTAAGAGATTAAACAGTCCTTCACATAGCTCTACAATTTTAAAGCTACCATGCTTTTGATAGCATTTAATTTGACACTGCAGTTATGTCCATATATTTTTACTTGTGGGGATACTTACCACGCAAAATGGGAGAAAAAAGGGTTTCACATTCTCAGCCAGCATTTTCCTTTCCAAAATAGTGACAACATTGTAATTCAATCCCCAAACTGAACCTCTCTGATCCCTGAATCCAAAACTGAAGGGTAGGGGAGAGAAGGAGAGAAGGAAGAAAGGGGGCTCTACAATGCCGACGTCAGAGAAATCTTTGTTTCATCGCGTATTCTTCACTGCCAGGGAATAAAGAGTGTGCTTGTGTGAGCTGGGACGTAAGCATATCCAGTTGGAAGTGTTTGCGCTTTCAGATTAAATCAACCTTCCCCTAAGAAATCTGGCTTTCTTAATATACATTAATATTCAAGTTATAAAACAAACTTGGCCTCCGTCTATTAGAGGAAGTAGATCTCCAGGTGAGCAAAATAACACTGGGCTGGTTCAGCAAGGCAGAGGCACACACCTAAATTAAAATCTCTGTGTAGCCCCCAAACTCAAGTGTTTCCACAATAAAGGATGAACTGGTGAATCAAAATCTAAATTATTTTATACATAGGACAGCTTTATGCTTCTCAAATTGAAAGATTTTAAAGTTTAATGTCTGGTTTAACGTGTTAACCTTTCCCTTAGTTATCACTTTTTCACTGTCACTTTTCCACAGATGTCTCAATCAAAAAGTGGTTACATAAAAACGCTCTAATGAACAAATTTACTGATTGAAACCAGGACAAAGAATCTTAATTGACTATTGAAGAAAATGCACAGAAAGCAACTTTTGAGTTTATAATTGTAAATATTATGTCAGAAACTCAGCCCTCACAATGACACTCACCTATTTTAGATAGAAGCAAGTACTAGCAAGCATAATCTGCTCAAATTTTGTCATTAGACCACACAATAGACTGCTTTTGAGCAAGCAACAACCCAAAAATTAGTCCCAGAAATAATTAAGGAAAGCATTTTAAATATGAAAGGAAAGAGGATCATGTTTGGCTACAAAGAGGCAAAATATAACAAATAAATCGTCAATTAAAAAGAAATATCCAGAGCCCTGACCAAGGGTTTCTTGTACTTCATTTGTGCTGTAATAGCATATGGAATGGTGTGAAGGTAAAAGAGTAGAAAGAGCCAAATGTTATTAAAATACAAATGTCTAAACTACAGTGCCTTTTAAGATCTCAGGCCAGCCTTTAGAAGACGGAGGGGGGAGAAAAAAGAAAACAAATAGAAAAATCTGAATGAAAACAAAACGCCTAGAGCATCTTTACACATTCATAAACTACATTTTACCAAGCAATTTGAAGGACATTTTCAAAGTCTTGCATTTAAGCTCCTGCCCTCGATGCTCTCTGTAAGCAGGAACTCCCTTTATCCCACCTCGGTGGGAGCTGCGAACCACTGAAGACAGGGAATCTTTTATTAGACACATACAGAGTGAAAAGTGCAGTGTGGCTCCTCCCTGTGCTTTCATCTCAAAGCAGACCCTGAACACAATTCCAATACAAATACTACCAACAACCACTGACAACAAAACATTTTTCCATTTGCCTTTTCCAAATTACCTTTTTCTTCCATTTGCTATTTCACACCAACTCTATTAATAAAAGCCAGATATCATTTTCACCCCATACTATCATTTTTAGTGGTGACTAAATTCACTCATTCATCAGTGTATACTACTCTTTAATAAGCCAAGGTCAATCTAATTTCCTCCTCCTAGTGCTCTCTCCCCAACAACAACTTCTTCACGTGTTTCAGCTTTACTTTGAAGTGACTTCCTTGCCTGGCATGCTAAAATCCAGAAACAGAGCGCCTATCATTAAGACTGCAGTTCATGCCCTGACTAGTCACAGCAAAAGGAGAATAAGACTATAATCTCCTAAACAATGTAGAATCTGTAAATCAAAACCAACCAGCTCTTTTTGGCATGTACATCAATGAACTGGTGTAAGGGTATGAAAATCCAAGCAACTTTTCTAAGGTAAAGTCAACCTCAGCGTATGGATTTGTTCAGCTTGGATTTTTTTCCCTCTGCCCTTCAACCCCTCAAAGCAAGTCTTCAGAAAATAGTTTTTATTGCATCCTGAGAAACAGCAGCTTCTGCTGGACCAGAGGGCAAAACAGGCACACACAAACATAAACTTAGAATACAGGCAGTACAGAGATTAAAAACAACCTACCTTTAGTAACTACCCCGCCTAGCCTTCTTGATGGTAAGGATGTTTGTATTTCTTTGCTCTAAATATAAAAACAAACAACGGTGGCTGCTCTAATCAAAGGAGGAATAACATGTTGCCAAAAAAATTCACAATGCATCAAAACATTTATACAGACTCTAGAGTTATTTCACTGAAGAAACACAAACGACCCATAGCCACGTACAGAAAATATTCAGAGAGTCAGAGGAATGGAGTTGCGCCTGATGGACTAACATAAAGTTTCTTGGCACAGAGCAATAATTTCCATAACACAGTGCATGAGGGGTTTCTACTTGCAGAAGTAAAGCCCTGTCATGCTGACTGATATGTCATCACGCACACAATGTAACTGGGATAGCCCAAGTCCCACTGGAAGTCACTGACGCTTTATATTGTAAGTTACTTGAAACCTCACAGGTGTACGGGGAGCTCTCTTCCAGTAACGCAAGTGGGCCTAAATATAATCCTCCACAGAAGTGTCCATAAGATCAAATTTTTCCTTATCATAAAGGATAAGGAAATTTCCTTATCCATAAAGGATAACATCCTTTATGATGTTATCATAAAGAAAAACATCAAATAGAAGGCTTATAGGAAAGAGTTTTACAGTAGAATTTTTTAATCTATATTTCTCTTTGGTTTCTCAGCTTTGATGTCTGCCAGGTTCATCATATTTCCTGGGTTTTGTTCCTTAATGGCTGCAATTTGCTGGTAAAGGTGGCCAAGGCTGATCTGCTGACCACGTACAGCCAATATGTGCTTCCTAAGGCTTCCTCTTCGTGACATTTCCAAAGTGGAAAGTTAACAACTATCGTAAACAAAAAATCTGTAATCCTAACTCCCCCTTCCACTCAATTTTTCATGCCAATGTGGATCAGTGTGGAAAGAGAGGGCCTCCGGAGTATCAGCTTTAGTAGATGGGGACACACAGGATAGTGTGAAACAGTTGGAAGGCCAGGTTTAAACATGTAACCTGAAACACTGGAAACTAGAACTCACAGTGGGGCTTAGCAACAAAATCAACAATATAGGCAGCGCATGACATGTGATCACCAAAGCAGAAGCAAGGTTGCTTAAATATAGCCTCTGTAGGTATTAGAATATTTCTGAGAAGTACACATCAAGCACGAGACAGATGCTACTAATAAGTAGAGCTTTAGACATTTATTTTTGTATTTAAATATCCAGCTATATTTATCTGAAAGACTTAACCATACCATTCTTAACCGAAAGGTATGCCAGTTACTTACTGCTGTCTAGACAAAAAGATTTAAAACTGGAAAAGATAAAACCTTTGCAAAGGAAGATGGAAAAGTGCTTTAAGACTCCAGAAGTGCAATATCTCTGCACTTGAGTCCCCAGAGCTCTGTCTTTAAGAGCTTTGTCTATTGGGGAATTTAATGTACTAATTATTTCGTAAACAGTTTCCTAATGCTTGTTCTTGAACCTAAATTGTTTGAGTTTGGGGGGAGAGGTTAGTAAGTTATGAAAACTCTAGAAAGCTGGAAAAATCAATCAGTCTTACAGGCAGGAGTGATGTCTGATGATCCTCTGACACTTCCGGAGTTGTGACCACGGTGTGGTAAACCACTTCAAAGTAGGACATAAAGATATGAATCATCTACACTGAGTAAGCTGTCCCACTTCCAAATTTCCTGGGGAAAAAAAAAAAAACAAACCAAAAACATCAATCCAGACTATCTGGACACTCACCCTAAGTGTTTGGACAGCTTTAAATGATCCTGTGATCTCAGTGAAGAAATTGTTCTTGAAATGAGTTACACATTTCACTTCTATTTTTAGCATAACCATAAACCAGATCTGCAAAACAGAGGTTTCCCAATCTCTGCTACAGTAATTTGGTACCATGTGGTACATAAAGCTGGAGGGAAGCAGCATACAAAAGAGTTACCACAGAATTCAGAGATCAGAAAGGTATGAAGAGTTTCATAAGCTCCCCTAAATATTCAGAAATATATATATATACACTTTTTTGGATATGGAAAATATTTCTGCATCACTAGATGCTTTTAGCATTTCATCAAGAGCCTAAACAAACAACAGTCTGAGAACAGTGCCTAGGTAAGCCTTCAGAACATCAAGTTCCGATCAAAAGAGAGAATTTCAGATAGACATGGGAATGCAATTGATACAGTTCATCCCATGGCCCCTTGGCCACCCCATTTGCATTGCCCAAAAGGTGCCCCAGAGAAATAATTGAAAACAAAGCCCAGGTGAGAAAAAATCAGTACCCTAGGTTTATGCAATTCATTTCTCTCATTCTGCTGGGAGCAATGTAGAGGTTGGGGTCATGGACACAGTGCACAGTACCAAAGTCCTCAGTGCTCTGTGTGGGTCTCTTGCAGCCATAAGCTCCTGGGACAGCTGCAGCCCAAAACAGCAGGACTACACATAAAGGTGGTGTGAGTCAGTCACCTTTCTTTTCCCAAAACTTTCCCTGGGCCACTGAGCAAGAATTAATTTTACTGAATATCTTATTCCCTGAGTAGATCAAATAACTTCATAATTTATTTTGTTAAACTAGTACTAACCTGAAGTACTGATTTTAAAATACTTCCAGGAATAAGTCAATATAATTTTAACAAATCATGAATTCAAGAATTCACATGGCAAGAATGCTGAGCAATAATAACTTCACCAAATCCAGTTCTTGCACGTGGGCAAGTATTGCTCTTGTTGACTAAGAATTTTTCCTGTGATTCAGTAAATCTCCTCGTGGAATTAGGTGCTATTTGAGATACGCAGAGTTGCGAAACCTATTGCTGTCTTGATATAAAATTATAGGAAGTAGAGTTGGAAAGGACTTTAAAAGGTCATCTGGTTTGTCCTCAAGGCGGAATCAATATTCATGTCACTTGTGACAGATGTATGTTCTTAATGACGATGACTTCACCACCTCCCCAGGCTTTGCTATGTTTATGTTTAGAAAGATTTTCCTAATAACTGTTCTGACTCTCCCCTGGTGTAATTTAGCTTGTTATTTCTTATTATGTCTGCCATGAACAAAACGGACATGTTACTCCTTTCCTCTTTACAACAGTGGGGTTTTTTTACATTTTAATTATTGCCTGACCCTTCCGTCTTCTTTTTGAGTGTTTAAAAACTCCAATTTATTCAAGTTCTCTTTGGCTACAGTGCTCCAAGCTGAGTCCTTACCAGTATAAAATATTAGAAGGTTACTTCTTCAGGCTGTATTCCGGTTTTCATATCCACACTAGTTGGCCACTTAGCTTTTTAATAGTTCATCAACTCATGTTTAATTTGATTCACTTGCATTCCCAGATCTTGTCAAGAGAACTGCTGTCCATTGTGTTACCCCATCCTGTATTTGTGCAATTGATTATTTCTGCCTAACACTTTGCATTTGTCCCTATTGAACTTAATCCTATTTTTTTCAGATGATCTCTTCAATTTGTCAAGATCATTTGGGATTCTAATTCTGCTTTCCACATGTTCAGAATCCCCTCATCTCCTGTCATATGCAAATTTATTGCATATAATATTATTCCCTCATTCAGATCATTCATGAGAATATTTAACAATATTTAATCAAGAACAACTCCCTGTAGAATATTTTCAGTATATTTCAATTAAACAATAAAATTAGGTAATTGTTCTCTGAGTTTCACTTCTCTTTCAGCTCTACAACTATTCTGAAGATTATGTTTCCTTAGCTTTCCAATGAGAATATCATTCAACAGAGTGCCAAAACTTAAGTAACGTAGGAGCAGAAGACTTAGTTCATCCCCTACATCCTTGGACCTGTTACCTCATCATAGCAGTAAGTTAGTTTGCTTTGTCATAATTTGCTCTTGACCACTTATTACCTACCCCCTCTCTCCATGCCATGTTCTAGTTGCTTATGACTGTTTAGGACATCCATTGCACATTTTTTTTTCTGAGAGATTCTGGTGATTTTGTCATTGAGTATGTAACTGACAATCAAGTACCAGCACACAATACCGTGTAAATTAATTTCATGCAAAAATCAAAACGACTTTTGAATTCTTTGTCATCAAAACATATTCTTCAAATACTCACTGTTAAAGAGGGCAGCATCTGTAAGAGGTCTTGAGTAACTATAGAACCATGCATCTCACACATATATGATCTATCTCATTGATCAGCACTGGTAGAAACATCCCCATATGCTGATTTATGTCTCAACGCAGCATTCATTGGAATAAAGGACCCACAAAGTATATGGATATCATGTGGTAGTGAATCAATTATGCTCATTCGGATCACACTCAAAGCACTTATGTCATATTGTTGACTCTTCAACCACCTGCTCTTGTCAAGGAGGTCTGGCACACAGTTTTTGAAGCATTCTTGATTTGCTCCAGTCATGCCCTGTTCTAATTATAAAAGAAATCTGTTGTCATCATTTTTGTATCGATATCTTTTGAATAGCCAGCACTATCTGTAGATGTGCATAAATGAGATGGAAAAGGTGCAGGAGATACATGGTCTCTTTGGAGGAATACATGTTTTGTGCATCAGTCAGATGATATAGGCTATCTAAATACACATCTGTCAAATTAAAATCCAGTTAAAAATGAAGTGGCACAACACCCCTGCCCAGATTTACTACTAAAATAGATGATCTGCTTTTTATCTGAAGTCATGTGGAACACCAGGAGGCATTCAGATGTAAGACTCCAATAGAATTACCCTTGAAAATAAAGATGTTGAAGTACTAGATTTTATGCAAAATAAAATACAAATTCACATTTTAGCAAAACAAAAAACTCCTCCTTCAACTCTGTACATAACAACGGAAACAAAAAACCCAATAATCCTAAAAGTCACTGTAGTTTCCCTATGTCTAGGTGTGGGGTTTCTCTGCATTAACGGGGGGAAAAAAAAACAACATAAAAATGGATTGTTCATAATGAGTCACATGAGAATAAAAGTCAATTTGTAAATCGTTTTTTCTAGGAATAAATTCTATTTAATCCAGAATATTACTGAAGTTTCCTGTTCACAGAAGATTTTGTGCAAAACTTATTGCTGGAATAGCATCTTCACTTTTGAAAGTATGCTAAAAAAGCTGGAAAGTAGATTTTCACAAGTTTTTTGGGGACAAATTTTCTCTCAGTTAATCTAATTTTAAAGTAAGTTATTCCAGATTTACATTAAATAGTTCAAGTGAAAAAAGTAATCTCGGCTTTCATATGTAGCGCATGAGGCCTTTGCTGGCCTTTCACTTCTGGTGTCACTCTATGATATCTCTGCAAGGAATTAGTTATTTATGGGATTCTCTACTTGCAAATTTATCCACAGTTTCAATTGCTAGGTTTCTTTCCCCCAGTAATCTCATTCATTGAGTATTAAAAGTACTTTATGTAAAAAAAAATAAATAACCTTTTCTTCCTGAATTTGCAGGAGCAGGAAAAGATTTTAAAAAACCCAACAAAGAAAGAGAAAATGTATTTGAAGCTGGAGTCTGAGACCAAACACATCCACCTGCGGGACTGTTTTATTGGACATGTATGGATTTCTAAATTCAATAAACATGGAACAGGAGACAGTAAATCTCTCAAACTACAAATTAAAACTACAGAGGTCTTTAGGATATGTTCAAGTTATACATGGCCTTTGGGACTGTCAACTGCTCCGTTCCAGAGCAGGAGGAGTTGTCCTGTCAGGAACAGTAATGGCACAAAATTAAAATAATCTCAGGATAATTACCAGTCCTGCGGAAAAGAGGCAAATGTCTTTCCATTTAGCTATGATTAAACAATATTAATAAGGTTAATATTCCAGTCTCTATCAAGTAAAATTTAGCACCTAGCAAAAGTAGAAAATTGAAACCAGGTGATTTGTTACCATCCCTTCACTCTTTTTACCCAGTTACTGCCTACCTGTAAAAGGAAGAGATGCAGTGGCCTGTGCAAACTTCCTGTTGATGCCATCCTACTGAATGATAAATGAAAAAGAATTGACAGGTTAGAAAATTGCATACCCACTTCTTACTAAGTAACTGTCTGCAGCTATAGTGTAATACAGCAACTGCTTTCTTCCCTCACCCCCACCCCACATCAAACCAACCCTTGAAGGCAATTTCCTGAAATGGCACTTTTAGCTAATGGGAAAGCATATTACAGGACAGAGAGAAACTATAAATGGTAACAAGGATTAAATTCCCCAGCTCTGGACCCTGTTGTTAATCTAGTCACTCTGAGGAAATGGTGGTATGAAAATTACTTCTCAGTTCCTCCAAAGAAAGTGCTACATAGTACACTTTAAACAGAAGGAAAGAATATTATTATCTTTTTAGTATTTTCATTGTGCACTGTTAAGCCACTGCAGTCCTGTGCTGCATCCCACTGCAATCAAGCAAAGGGTAGTGTTGACCTGATGAATTTTAAGTGGACAGCAACTTATAGTGCATGTGATTGATTAAATTTATCCCAGCAGAGCCACCAGTGGTTCCTGCTGTATTCCAAATACTTGTAATAAGAAATAATGCAGCAATCAGAAAAATATCAGAACTGGAAAGAACTTTACAAGAAACTAATGAAATGGGGCCCTTTCCATTGATTTCAGCAGGCAATGGGAGAGGATCTATGTGACATTACTAAACACACGAAATTTCACAAATGCATGCTTCTGAAACAATAATTTCATTAAC